TCATGAAAATAGTATATGATACAATGCTTTTCTCATTTGCCTAAATGTTAGAGTGCAAGCACAATAACAAAAAAATTATCTGAATGACTTTTGACGACTCTTAGACTCTTTCGTTTCCATGTGTTATTTTATTGTTATGTATTAGCTTGCTTCAAAAGATAAAGAGAACTACATGAGTTTGCACCCAAAAACCTTCAATCCTCACACAAAGCTTATTTAAAAAAAAATCTAAATATTATAAGACTTACATGGCAATAAAGCAGGACTTTGAGTGCATGTTGACGATCGAACGACAATTCAAAGGATTTCAAATGAACAAAACTAGAACTACCATAGTCACCCAAAGCAGAACCCTAACCAATGGTGAATGAAGAAGAAAATGATTGAAGTGCTACGCAAAAGGGTGTTAACGAAATATTTTTTTTTTTGCTCAGAAGGGTTATGTTTTCGAAGTGATGGGTTGGTTTGGGTCATGTCACGTGTCAAAAAAGCGTTTTAGCTTGCTTGCACCTGGTTCGGGCCAAGTCATGCATTAAAATAAAGCGTCATTTGGTTTTTATTTGGTGGGATCACGGTTTACACGTGGCGAGATTTGATTGAAGTATGGACACATAACTGTGTCCGAACTCCAATTCAAAGCAATTTACGGGAAGGGCTTTCTATGATAGAATATATAATTTCTTGCTACGGAGCCCGCAAAGGAGTTGTAGATACTGTTGTACGAACATCAGATGTTGGATACCTCACGCGTAGACTTGTTGAAGTAGTTCAACATATTCTTGTAGTATAACAGATTGTGGTACTATTTGAGGTATTTCCGTGGAAATCTGCATGGTACTTCTACGATTGTGGAATGATTGTGGCTTCTAATGTGTTGGAATCTTTTTACATATTCATCTTTATACCCATTTTCGAAGCACTATGGTGCTAGTTAGTATATCAGGCTATGCTCTCATTCCTTTTAGTATTCTCCCCCTCCAGGTTGGGTTAAACTCAATATTGATGGTGTGCTTTACTCCTCAGGGCGGGCAGGGATTGGTATTTTCATATGTGATGAGTTGCGAGAACTTATTTCAGCTACGAGTAAAGGGCTTTTTCATTGGGACAACATTCAAGTGGAATTGATAGTTGTGTT